TCAACACATTTTTTAGAGGTTGATAAAATATTAAAAAAGAAGTCATTAATCTTTTATGAGAGTTGTACTTTATTCTTAGAATGTCCTCACATGGTTATAGATTTCTAAGAGTCTACTAAAGTCAATAAATTGAAAGAACACTTTCAGTTTCTAGAAGTTCATTTCAGAAGTCTTTATGCACTCTTTCTGAAAAGCTTTTGGTCTATTTAAACTGTATATTATAATTATGTCAAAAATATATCACGAAGTAAAGCATCACATTAAATAATTTGTATAATGTCACCATTTAAACATATCAATATCTCTAAAATTCTAACATATATAAAAATTCTCCTATTCTGTCGATGGTACTTCTAAATTTAATTTGACTGTATTCTGACGAAGTTATTTTCACTTTTATTTGTATAAGAACTATAAAAAAGTAAAACAAAAAAGTAATTTATAAAACAAGGAAGCTGAACTTTAAGTGTTATCATTCAGTAAAAGACTTTTCAGTGACATTTTGTCAATGTAAATATGTTAGCTATTATTGCTTCCATTGATCTGACTGAGAGCTTTTCTTTAAGAACCCAAGTGCAAATATTACATTTACAGTCACATTTTACTGAAAACTAATTTCAACTATTCATTAACATTAAATTAATTCTCTTAAGATATCTAAATATCGTGAGATTATCTGCATTATCCTGCAATGTGTTCTTTCATGTTGAATTATTTTTAAAATTAATTACTATCATAATTGAATAGATAGCTGTAATACTATTGAATAGGAAAAGGATATAACTATTTAAGGGTAGAATATGTAGCTAGTCTACTCTGACATTAAATATTTTAAAAAAGCATTATTGTATGCAGAGTATATATTTCTTTCATGCTTGATACAAATTTGCTTTTATATTTTATGGTGGTAAGAGAGTGGTTAAGGGTATTGTTTTTTTACACTTTGCTTACCATGGATACAGTACTTATAAATTCTTACTTTTGTTTCTGTTTTGCTCCCAGCCATAGTGGGGCATTATTAGTGGTCACAGTGATCACACTGTTAGTGAAATAAAAAAAAACCTAAACATATTCCTGTAATTCACCACCATTAACTTTATATTTACTACTGTCTCTACTTCTATATGTACAGATGTTTGGGATAAAAAAAAAATAAATTGTTGGATGCCATATTTATCCATTAGATAGATGTAACCTTCCATTACTATGGACTAAGTTTATGTTGTTCATTTGTCCTTTTTACAGTACATATGAAAAATTGGTTACAATATATTTCATTTGCTATTTAAGTGTTGATTGCAACTGTATAGTATTTGTGTATTTTTATCTTACACTGTTCTATTTTCTATTGGACCAGCTTGTTTCTACATGATTACATTGGCCATGCAGACCTTCTCCCAGCACAACATGTCATGGAGTGAATAGCTTATTTGTGTATCTTTACGGCACTGCAAAACACTATAGCTGCTCACCTGGCTCTAATAGTTAGGGGAAAAAAATTGAAATTTTTTTAAAGTTTATGAAGTTTGTCCTTTGGAAATATTTAGGGGTTCAGATTAGGTTTGCAGGGTTTTCTGATTTTCAGCAATCCTTACAGCAACACCACACTTCTAGGAAACTACTTCTGACATTTACACAAGATTACCACTGGAATAACATTGTCAATCTGCAGGGAGGAATTGTTTCTTCTGTCCTAATAAATGAAAAAGAGACATTTCTTCTATAAACCTAGCTATGTCCTTCTGAATGATAGATATATTGGCTTGTTTGCATTTCCGCTGAAACTGAGAAAAAACCATAGTGGTTTGATTTGAACACATATATGAAAATCCTCTTTACTATTTGAATGCGTAATGCAATAAGAATTATTAGAAATTCATTTTTCTAAATGAATAGTACAGATGACTGAAAAGATTAAATGGCTTTGATAGGCACTTACTGTTCGGGAAAAAAACTGCACTTTTCTGCAGTATAAATCCACACAGTGGCCGTGTAAAACCAAAGAATAATATTAAACAGGAAAAAAGAAGGAATGTAGATGGGTATTAAAACTTGTGTTTGAATGACAATGGAAGATAAAGGTAAGGTTTTAAAAAATTCCAAGTGCTTTTAATATCTTACTAAATTCTAATGGTAAGTCCCACGTGCTTGCATTAGCAAGCATTCATTTATTCAGTGATGCAAAAAGAATATTACGTAAAATTATGGTATGGACCAGTTTTGAAGTCCAGGACAAATAGAATTCACATTAAACTAGTTCACATCAAATACACAGAAAACTGTGTATTACTGTGAAAAACAATCAAAGGTGGTGTCAGCTGCTAAATGTAAAGAATTATATATATATATATATATATGTACATATGTATTTTTATTTCTTTATTTTATTTTCCTGGACTTACACAGATTCATAGATTTCACTAGACAAATTTAATATCTTTAGGAATATATTTATAAATTTCTGTAACAGTTATACTTGATGTCTCTGGAAAATGTTCCCTCTATTTACACTTTAGAAACTGCCTTTACTAAAAGAGATGAGTCAATGTAAAACAGTCCATTTCCATTCTCTGCTTTCTTTCCTTAAATCCTTAGGAAGCCCTGGAGATTCACATTGGGAAACAAGAGCTGTGACTGCATAGTGCAAATACAGGCTGACTTGGCACGGTGTCCCTCACATTAAACAGAGCTTTGCTCTAGAAATGGTACAGGTTCAATGAATGGGCTTCAGAGCAGCTGCCAGCATTCGTTTCTGGCAGATAACTAAAGGACATGTGTGCCATGCGAAAGACTCTTGCTAGGTTTCAAGGTATGAAAGAATAAGCACTGGAAAAATGTGCCACAGGGACAGGCTCGCCTATCATCCATGAGGACTACTTGAAAAAGAAAAATATCCTTTATAATTATTTTAAAGATTATAGAGAACATTGGTGTGAACTCCCTTCCAGTACAGTCCTAGAACACCATAATCTGTCAATTGTAAGATACTACCCTTAGTACAAAGGAATATGGGGACAATATATTATGGATAGGCAATGTATGAAAATCTAAGCCATTTTAAAAAATCACTTAAGAATAATTTCCACGTATGATTCTGATTCACTATTTTCAGTAGCTTATACACGTCAAAAATCAATGAGCAACAACTTCTGATCTGTAAGTAGTGAGAAACTGAGAAACAGTGCTTGTGCTTTACCTTCCTTTTCTTTGTCCATTGATATGAAAAGTGAATCTGGGGGAGGGAAACTTAAACTGAAGAACAATTTCTGAGATGGCAGATAAAGGTGATTTCAGTGGATCTGTGGCAATTTCCACAATCCTTCTCTCAGTCTTCTCCAAAAAAAAGAGTGTAATATAATTTTGGTCAATCCACCCTTTTGTTAGTTTGGTTCATGTTGTTCCTTCCCCTCTAACAGAAGCAGAAACTCCTCAGTAAGAAGTCATTTCTTTCTGAGACGTGCCAGGAACTAGAACTCTTATTAACCTAGGAGAATATTAGTGTCATATAGTGGAAACAATGCAATATATAAACATCAGACATCAGTGTTAAATTATACATTAACTATTTTTCTGTGACCAGAGTTAAACTTCTGCACATTTGGCTTTTTTTTTTTCATATTTTTCCCCCATTTTTTCCTCATATGCACATGCACAGCCTCATGATAAATTGCTGGAGATAAGGCTATTACTAGCTGACACTGTAAGAATCTTTACTCCCTACAATACTTAGTGCTGAGATGATTTTCATTGCTAGGAGCCTGAGAATGCATGTAATTTAGACACAAATTCTGCTTTTCCAAATTATGCTCTGATTTTTTTTTCTCTTGACAGTTTGTCATGTTCCCTTTTGTATTATTATTATTATTGTTATCATCATCATCATCATCATCTATAATTTAACAGCTCTCTTTTTATAGCCGTGTTAAGTTCCCCACAGTAAAAGCAAATATACTATTGACCAAAATCTATGTCTACAATAATAAAATAATTTATCATTTTGGCAATTTTCTTTGCTATTTTTAAAGTAGGTTTTATGCTGTCTACTCAGACTTCATTTTGTTCTGAAGACCAAAATGTACTTTAGTATGTGGAGGAATCACAGAAGCAATCTATCTGTCAATTCAAATTTTGTATTTAACAGGTAACATCACTAAGGATTTAATGGCAAAGGACAGACAATCATTTATCTTAGTACTGCATTCCTATGCTGAATTTGTTCCAACACTGGGAAGTTCTAAAACTATAATTTTAAGTGAGACTATAAATTCTCATTTCAGCATAGGAAAAACATTCTTGTTTCATTTTAATGGCAGATGTATAGTGGTGTTAATGAGTAGAAAACTGTATGTGGTAACATTGTCCAAGATTAAGAAGTTAACAGTTTGTCAAAGGCATTGGGTCTTTTCCCCAGCTCTAACTACAGCTGACTGAACCTGAGCAACATGAACCTGCTGGCTCATGTCCCTTCCCTTCCCTTCCCTTCCTACCCCTCCCACCCCTCCCCACCCCTCCCCTCTGCAGGTCATAGAACAGCTGCTAGGTCAGTAAGAAATATGTTCTGGTATTCCCCTTTTTATAGTTGTTTAATAATGCTTTCAGAATTAGGATCATCTGAATTAATTTTGATGAAAATATTACTGATTCATTGGAGATTCACAATCATATTATCATCTGGTTATATTCATTCAAGTAAGGCATAGCAAACTTCTGACTGTGATTTGCCTTCCACCTTCTCCTTTGCATTTCTTATTTCTTTCCAGACATGAATTTTAAACTACTGTTGAGGGTGTGATATAAGGATGTGGGTTTACTTGAACCTTAGTAATACTGAGTATTAATTATCAGATTCTAAAATACAGGCTAAATACCATTTGAATTTTAATTGTATTATAGATAATAGAATATCTTTCCCATTGAACTAGAATGGTAGTAGTTATCACAGTTGTCCTTTATAAAGTTGATGAGATTTAAAAAGAATATTTTTATTTCTTCTCTTTCAGTTTCTGACTTGGATATTCAAATAGTAAGGTGTTCTACTAGGAGAGTTTCCATGTCTTTCTTATGAGCTGTTGTGAGATGATTTTGCACTGAAAGTTTTCAGTTCCTGCGTCTGGTGGCACAAATGAAATGTTGTAAGTGTTTTTATTATTTTTTTCTTTCCATATTTAATATCAGGTAACATAATGGTAGCTTTAGTTCTCTACTAACATCAAAGATTAAAACCTGAGAGTTTCAGATTAGACATTTGGGCAAGAAAAATCTACTAGAAGGGCAGTGCAGCACTGGAGCTGGCTACCCAGAAAGGTTGTGAAATGCTCTTGGAGATTTTCAAGCCTTGGCTGGACAAAGCCACAGCTGACCTCTTCTAGTGTTGGTTACAGCCCCATTCCGAGTAGGAACAGAGCTGTATGAACTCCATTGACAACCCCTCCAACTAGCACTGCTATCTTACTGTGAAAATGCAGTGACTGTAAGACAGAAAAGGTATAAAGAGTCAGCTGCTGTCACAAGGGTAGTATATCCAAATAAGCATCCTGGAGAATCAATGTCTTTGGACTTGATTTTCAGGAGCTGCTCCATATCACACCAACATACTGTGCTAAAAAGGGATGACAATGAAGCTGATTTTCTCTTATGTAAGTGACAGGGTAGAGAGAGGTGTATCACAAACTACAGTCTCATTTGGTCTGATGAGGAGTTGCACCACTGTTTGCTCTGGACTGCCTGCAAATTACATGACTGTGTCCTTGTGACCTGAATCAAACACAACCTAGGCAGGACAAACAAGGAACTTCACTTAGGGTTTGTTGAGGTGGTCTTTAAATCTCATATAACACTATATTACCATCAAAGGGTTATTCATGGTCAGCCTTGTAAAACTGACATGTATTAATGGAATCATAGTTCATATTTTTTTCTATGTAAAGTTATTGTTTCCCCTTTTACATAGGCATATGTGTTATTTCTACTATACCTCAACATAACTGATAGAGTTACTACAGATCACAGTACAGTGATTCTGTTCTTATATTTTTCCATTTCACTAATATAAGCAGATTCACCTACCAAACTATTTGAACTCTATGGTCTCCTCAAGTGTCTTTACCATAGCAAATGCTCCTTGATGCATTATTGAGTTTCATCCGTGAGTGTAGAAAAAGAATAATTTCCTTATTATATTTTTTTCTAATGCTGATAAATCAAAAATCTTGATAGGTTAAACTTGAAAAAATTCCTACAGTAATCTTCAGCAAAGCAAATGGATGTTAATGGAATGACAGTATAAAAGGGATATAAAAAACTACCTTCCTACAAATAACATTAATCATATTTTTCTCTTAATGGACATACCATCATACTTGTGTATGCTAATTTGTTTCTACTGTTCAAATAAAACACTTTATGCACTGTTTCAGCTAACAGTGAGCAAAGTCAATACTTTGCTTTGACATCTCTATTGTAGTTTGCATTTTACCTCCTGTTTGATACAGATAAATTCTATAGTTGTGTCACATTTTTCTTCAGGATTGGGCAGATCAGTGAGGGTGATAAAATATTAGTGATGAAAGCTTCGGGAATTAGATATGTCTGTCTCAGTCTAACCTATTTCTTTTGTGTGAACTCCACCAGAAATGATGTACTGTAAAAAATACTATGTCTGTTCAGATTAAAATATGTCATTTTTCAGAACACAGAAAGAGCCTAAATTTTTTATTTAATGTCTGAGTTTATTTAACAGCTTTATACATTTTTCAGTAGGTTTGTTGTCAAAAGCAGAACTGATTGCCAGTATGCTATTTCCTTGTATTTCTCCTACTATCCCATTACTCTGCAGAACACAGGGAGCTAGAAGGAAGCTTCATTGGTAATCTTCTGCCACAACAGGGAAATTATGATTAACCAGCTAGTTGCTGTGGTGGTTACAATGTGTGTTACAGGAGAAGCTTTTAAGAGACCTCTAGTTTTTGACTAGGCCCTGTTAGATTGAAAGAGAATGGGAAGTGATCATTCCCTCTTCCTTTCAAATACTTTTTTTTGACTATACTTTTTTTTGGCTATGCTTTTGGGGCTTGCTTATATTAAACTAAATTTTGTCAAAACTTCTGTCCCAAAGACTGGAGGATTGAGTGGACTTTTTTTTTTGGTTGACAGATATTTTGTTTTCTCTTCCTTGTTTCACTACCTTGTACTTCTTCATTTATTTCTTCCTTAGTTAGCTTTAACATGGTTTAGTTAAATAGAAGCAACTCTTGGGCCAAAGAGGTAGGCTTTTTTTTTCAAATTAATGTTAACCTGTGCAGGGTAGATTTTAATGAATTATCCATATAGCAACAAAAATAGGAATGGGTCTCCTGACTCAGCAATGAAAAATAAAAGTAATTACATAAGAACAGGTCAAGTTAAAAGTCCATGAAGAACAATAAGCTGTCCCTATTAGCAGTCTATGACAGTGTGGATTTTTATGTCCTTCAAAAATTAATTGCATAGCACTACGAAGATTTTGCATTTTTCCTCCTACTTGACTCATGCTGCTTGCCATGCAGTTGTTATTTCCATGTTCTTTTGCTTACTCCTGTCATGGGATTCTATCAATCTGCTTAAAATAAAATTTGGAGAAAATGGTTCTGCTTGTCTAGACCTCTCAAAAAACTACATCACTATCTAAAGGCAGGAGTTATCCTACCTAACTTTACTCTTAAAAAAATGGAATAAATGGAAAGACACAATCTGCTTATTCAGAGCACATTTTTTAAACAGCTATCTTAGCATACGTTTAATTACTTTATAATGAGTACCTTTGCAAGCAGCATAGATTACATGACTAATGCTTAGATGACTAAACCAAAGAATTAATTCTTTCCTGATGGTTGAAAGCATTACTCTTTCTGTTCATGGTGCTGTCAGCCAGCCTCGTAGCTAAAAGTGGGTGGGACACAGGAATTAATTCTTGGTTTTATGCCTTTTCCAGACCTGATAATATTTTGGTAATTCGAGTTTGTTTTTTTGATTAGTCTATAAAAAATATTTCCCATCAAAATTCCTTGTTAAATTTATATTTCCACCAACAATGAGGACTCAAATCTCATGACCTTCCAGTCCCACACTCCATCAAATTCACTATCTAATATTGTGTCCTTTCTGTCCATTCCTATAACTCACAAATTTGACAGTCCCTCAGTCCCTGAGGTACACCTAGGAGGTTCTAAAGCTGCTGTGGTTTCTGGGGTCCACGCACATTGTTGTTGTCACACACTTCCCATGTGTGCTGCTGATGGTTTGCTGAAAGTATTTCCAAGAGTTATGAAGAGTGAGGAGTTTCTGGTGTGACAGGACAGTCTGGCGTTCTATCCTGGAAGGCCAATTGTTGTAGAACACTTTTAACATTATACTTTCCATTCTTATGAGAACAAAACTTTTCTTGAAATGTTGGAAAAGAAATGTAAGTTTTAAGGAGACTTACTACTTTGTAGAAGACACCAAAATATTCCAGCAACCCTATCGTACAGCACAGTTCTATCCTGTGCCCAGTGTGCTTCACAGATCAGAGCTAAGGTGGCAGTGGTGGGTGAGAACACTAGCCCATGGTGTCAAATTGGTCTCATCTCTACCAAACTCACATTTTTTAACCAAACTCTCATTTTTTAATCTTGTTTTTTGTCTATTAAAAAAAAAAAGGAAAAAGGAAAAGGAGCTTTCTTTTACTTCAGAGTAAAATGAAACACCGAGTCATATGTTTCATAAACACAAGAAGAATCAAGCAGTTTGCTATGTCCTGTTGCCCTTTGGCATAGTGTTAAATGAAATCACACATTGCTCAGACTTTCTAATTAACAGTATGCTGCGTGGAGGAAGTCTTTCGGTAATTAACCTTTCAATTAATCAAAGTACATTTTCTACTTCTCTCCAACTTTGATCTATTTCATGTTTTTTCTTTCTTTATTTCTTGTCTTTTATTTTGTGGTCTAGATCTTGCCTTTGAAATAACAAGAATCACAGCTGATTCACAGCTATCAAAATTTTGAGCTACACTGTAAGATGACAGAGAATAGTAAAGCTTATTTTCATTCTAATAATTCTGAATTAAAATATCAATTTTAGTATGATAGAAAAATAACTCCCATGACCCATTTTTGTTGGCTAAAATCATATGCACTCATAAAGATGCTCTGCTTTTCATTCAACCTCAAAGGTTATTCATTTTAGAGACGTAGAACTATTTTTGTAAAGGGAGACAGAATTGTTCCTTATATATACAATAGAACTTCATCAGACTGAAAACTGAACTCACATGTCACCTGCAGACTTTCTCTTCATTTTCCAAAATATTTCTATTTCTTAATATGCATTTCTTAGGTAGTAATTTTTGTCATTGTATTCTGTAAAAGTATGGAGTCATTTATAAACAAAGTGTCTTACAAGCAGAAGGCTTACAAGCCAACATATACAGATTTGAAAGTATTGAGAGGTTAGGCAAAAACCTCAAAAATAATTGTATATTTCATAAAGTTATAAAACAAAAGTGGAAACTATTTGATAAATGTAGTTTTCTCCAGCAAAGAGCAATATAGAATTTTCTTTTCTCTCTTGTCACTTAAGCAAATAGAATAATGTATTTCAACTCGGCTACATGTAAGAACTAATTGACCAACAGTCAGCCCAAAAGGTCTGAGAGCTGACCTGATGTTTTATCAATATGTTTGCTGAATTAATTAATCATTACTTCGTGTATGTGTTTTTGCATATTTTTTCTTATATGCACTTAGAAAAGCCTACAAATAAGCTTCTAAAGAGAAAGCCTTGCAATATTGAGGGATTTATCAATTTCCAACTCTCAATGCATATTTTTTTCCATTCAAAGAAATTACTTAGGCTTATTAGAAATTTGGGCTAAAAAAACCAGCAGTCAGCTTTAACAACATGATCTTTAACAAACTTGTTTAATCACAATGGGACACCTGCCTCCCAGTTTCATGGAATATGCTGAGTTGGAAGGGATCCATAAGGATCATTGAGTCCAGCTCCTGGTCCTGCACAGAACCAGCCCCAAGAGTCACACCATGTGCCTGAGAGAACCATCCAAATGCTTTTTGAACTCTGTCAGGCTTGGTGCTGTGACCACTTCCCTGGGGAG